CATCCCACTGGTTTTATTTCTTTCTAGGATTGCCATGGTAGAATTCCCCCATTTTTGCCATTTCTAGAGTTGCCAGAGGAGCATTCCACCCTTTTTGTCACTTCTAGGATTTCCAGGGGACAATTCCACTGTTTCTCTTGGTTCTAGGGTTGCCAGGGCAGCATTTCACCATTTTTTTTTAAATTTTAGGGTTGCCAGGAGAGAATTCCATTGTATTTGTTGGTTCTGGGGTTGCCATGGGATCATTCCACCATTAAAATGCTTTTAGGGTTACCAGGGGAACATCCCACTGGTTTTATTTCTTTCTAGGGTTGCCATGGTAGAATTCCACCATTTTTGCCAGTTTTTTGCATTCCACCCTTTTTGTCACTTCTGGGATTTCCAGGGGAGAATTCCACTGGTTTTGTTGGTTCTAGGGTTGCCAGGGGAGAATTCCATTTTATTTTTTTATTTTAGGATTTCCAGGGGAGCATTCTACCATGTCTGTGAGTTATGGGGCTGCCATGGGATCATTCCATTCTTTTTTTTTTTTTTTTGGCCCCACAGGGTGGGGTTTGGGGATCTCAGAGACAAACCCCCTGCCCCTCCAGATGGGGATTCATTCCTGGCAGCCTGATGCTACCTGAGGCCTGGAGAGAGAAATATGAGATTCCAAGCAAGCTCCTTCTTCAGGGACAGTACAGGGCATCCCAAACATCCTTTTTCTTGGGAATTTGGAATGTTCTGGAATAGAAAGCAAAGGCTTTCTGATTCTGATGGGGAGTGTGGGATAACACCCTGCAGCAGTGACAGGACAGCTGGGAATGGCACTAATTCCTCCATTTTCCTCACCTTCCCCAGCACATCTGGCTGATTTTTTTTTTTTTTTTTTTTTTTTTTTTTTCCTTTCCAAATGAGAATTTCTCTTCTTGCAGGGAGAACAGGAATCCTCACAGCTCCTCACCTCATGGGCAGGGCACCTTAGGGTGACCTGGTGAGGTTTGGGAAGATTATGGAACTGATGGAAGTTCTGGAAAAGCCAAAAAGGAGCTGCAGGACCTCCTGCAAAAAGACAAGAGAGACCAAAAGTGCAGCTGAGAGAGATGGGGAGCTCTGTGTCCTCCTCACATGGGTGAGGTGATGAACAGAGCAGGTCCCACACGGCTCTGGTGCCTGAATTTGGGGGTCACAGGGGTGTCCCTGAACCTGAGGGGGACCTGACCCTGAAGGTTGTGGCACTCTGGGATTCCCAGCCACAGCAGCACGAGGAGAACACAGCTGCTAACACCAAGGAGCTGCTCCTGAGCTCTTCCACACTCGTGTTGAGGGAAGAGGAGCTCCAGGCCTTTCCAGAGGAGCCACAGCTAAGCTGGAATCACAGATTTATTGCTGCCCCTGTCCCAAAATGCAAATGGAGATATTTCATCCTCCACTTGCTGAAGGCAGAAGTGATGTCTGCAGAATCTGCCCTTTTTCACCTCATTCCTACCAAATTTTCCTTTGGGTGTGTCCCACGGACTGCCCACGTATTTCCTCTTTTTCAGAATAATCTTCTGGCCTTTTCCCCCTGGATGTGATGGAAATGACAATTTTGCCATGATGAACGTGGGGACAGAACTTCCAGCACCACCAGGGGCTGCTTTTCCAAACAGGCTGAGCTCCAGCATCTGCACAGACACCACGAGGAGAAAAATCAACAAGCCAAGCCCAGTGATGGGGATGGACTGGGCTTCCACTGGAGACCAGAAACCCACTCAGTGGGAGAGCATGGAGTCATGGAATGGTTTGGGTTGGGAGGGACCTGACAACTTGTCCTGTCCCACCCCTTCCCCTATCCCAGGATACTCCAAGCCCCATCCAAGCTGGCTTTGGACACTTCCAGGGATGGGGCATCCCTGGAATAATCTGTGCCAGGGCCTCCTCACCCTCACAAGGAACAAATTCTTCCCAATATCCCATCTAACCCTGCCCTCTGGCAGTTTAAAACCATTTCAGAGTACAAAGGTCCAGGCAGGGAGCATTGGGTTACCCAAATTTACCAAGGTGGACATTGAGATCAGAGACCTACATTTCTTTGGCCACACATGTGAAAAAAGGAAAAGTCACCAAAAGGTTCTGACCTGCTGTCCTCCAGCTGAAGAGCCCAGAACTCCCTTTGGGAAGAAAGTATCCAAAATGGGACAGTACTGGGGAGGGTTAAAACACCTGCTTGGAGGAGATACCAAAGGAAAAAAGGGAAGGGGGAGATGATGGAGGAGAAATGTCTGAAGAAGGGAGCACAGGGACGTTACAGCCATCAGCTGTGCCGGGAAAAGTCATTCCCTCCCCATGCAAACCCTCGGGGGCGTTACAAATGTAAGAAATTTGGGACCTGGGAGGGAAATGGCACTAAAATAAAAGAGACACCTGCCTGGAGATCATCTCTGCCGGGACTCGAACCCGGAACCTCTGGATTAGAAGTCCAGCGCGCTCGTCCATTGCGCCACAGAGACCTCACCGTGAGGGGAGCGTCGGCTCCAGAACTGAAAAATCCACATTGCCACGGGCACCCAGCAGCACCTCCAGCATCCCCAGCATCCCCTCCCTGCGCGGGGACACGCAGGAACCATCCCAGGCACGATCCACGGCTCGCTCAGCAGCGGGGATGCAGCAAAAACGTTGGATGCAGGCTGGTCCCCGCCTCTCTGGCAACCTTTCCGCAGCATCCCCGGAGCTCGGAGGAGGGCAGAGCTAAATCGTGGAGCAGAGCTCGTTGCTGCATCTCCATCAGCATCAGCATCACCGCGTCCTCCTCGCTGCTGAAGCCAAGGGATAAAGATGAAAGAGGATTTAGCTCAGAGCGCTGACAATGGTGAGGGGAGCTCCGCTAGGCTGGCGGGGGTGAAAAAAAACCGCCGAGAACCTGAGGATCGAGCAGAGAAATGAAAGGGAAAGCAGCTACCGTGGGTTTCCTTTCAGCAAGCTGTCAATCAGCGTTTAATGAAGAAACATTGTGCCTCTTCTGTTGGGGGGAAAAAAATGAAGACGACGTCAAAACAACAGGAAAGGTCCATTTACAGCCACTGACCTATGAACAATGGATCGAACTCTGTCACAGAGTCCTCGCATTGGGGATCCCTGAGCAGCACAAATTTCAGGCTGTTGTTCTCTCCCAAACACGCCCTCCATTCCCGTGAAAGGGGAGATGTTAAGTGCAATCCAAGAAGAAAAATTCCTTGACGCAGGGAGCTTTTTCCTCAAGGTCAATGTGACCTGAAGGTCCCACCTCAGGCAGCTCTTCCTGGCAGAGAAGAGCCCAGAGCAGGAATAAAACCAGAGGAGATTCATCCCTCAGTGGAACCACGGTCAGAACCTCAGACCTGAGGATAACCCCCCCCCAAACACCCAATTTTGGATGATGAAGATCACACCACCTGTGCTCCACCGGCTCCTGCTGCATCCCTGCTTTCCTCAGTTTCCTTCCTGCCTCAGGCTGGGGCACCTCTGTGCCCATGGCTAAAACCCCAGGGAATCAATCCTGTGCCAAATCCCTCCTGGGCTGGCAAAGACCTGATTTCTGCAAAAAATGAGCTGTGAAGCTGTGAGGTGCTGAAGAGAAGAGGCACAGCACTGACAACCTCAGCACACCTAATGCAAACCCAAAGGATTTGGTTTTCCTTTTACTCGTGGAAAGATTTATGGTTGTCTTGACAAGTAAAATCAACCTTGCAATGGTGGGAAAGAAGGCAGGGGTTGAACTTCTATCAGAAAAACCCTTCCTGCTGCAAAAGATAACCTAATAAATTGATAATCCTTGAAATAAATCCCTCTTTGAACCAGCTGTGATCACACTGGGACCTGGAGAAAACTCAAAGTCTAGAGAACACCCATCTGCAGGGTGACCAAAGGCAGTGCTTAAAAATGTCATAGAAAAAAATCTTAGACAAAGGTGTAAAGCTCTAAAGGATGAAGAAAATCTCCCACAGCCTGTGACTGTGTGCTCCTCCTGGGGGATGAAGACATCAGCTTTCAATATGATTTTGGGAGGCTGCACCTCAACAGTGCCTGCTTTGAAGTCCCAGCAAGCAGAAAATCTGGAGATGATTAATTAAATAGCACAAAAGGAATGACTGTGGCTTTATGGGCAGCCACATCCCTGGAATCAGAGGTTTGAAGGAGCCCTCATTCCTCCAGCCTGGAGCTCCCCTCAGCCCTAATTGCACCAAACCCAAAAAAGGACCAAGAGCTCGAGCATGTCCTGATGAAAATGTCACACTTCTGTCAGGGGAAGCGTGGGGAGAACCAGGAATGTGCCAGGGGAGCAGCAGAGCCTCATCCTCATCCTCATCCTCATCCTCATCCTCATCCCAATCCCAACAAGCAGCTCTGGAGGCCTGGGGACACCTGCCAGGTTTTTCTGTACCTCCCATAACCCTGTCCGTCTTCCCTGAGGTCCCAGCTGTGCCTCTGCTCCTTCGGGATGTGACAAATTTGGGAGGCAGAGACTGGAGGGAGCAGCACAGGTGCCACAGGGCTGGTTTTGGTGCTGGGGGGAGGCCAGTGCCTCCCATTCCTGTGAGAAGAGCACGTCCTGAGCCAGGAGAACATCCCTGTCAGGACACAGGAGGGGAAGGGACGTGTCCCCAGCACGCAGAAATGTGTCAGGAGTGAAAAAGTTTCCCTGGGCACCTCCCAGCCTCCAATCATTTCCCGCTGACAGCAAGAACATGAGCCACGAGCAAGGATGCAGTGGCCCAGAGTGAACCCAGAGAATTTAGCACCTCATAAACAGCTGGGAAAGGCCTCTGGGAAGACAAAATTCTGAGCAATTTGATGACTGATGGAGCCTTCAGATGCACCTCACCTAAAGCTGCTCCAGGGCAGTATCAGCAGTGCTGGGAGATCCAGAAATCCTTTGCACACTGAAAGAAAGAGCGACAGAAAATCCCTGCCAGAGCTGGGACTGCTCTGTGGTATCCAGAGAAAGGTTTTACAGCACGATTACAAATACAACAAATTGCTTGGTACAACCAGCCAATTCCCCAATAAAACCTTCTCCAAGAGCCACCAAGCAGAGGGTAAAGCTGTGTGACTTGAGGCCAAAAATCCACAAAAAACGTGTGATGGTGCAGGCTCTTCCCCAAATCCTTACAACAGATATATTCCTATTTTTTTCCTAAATTTGTAGTGCCTTTGTCTCCCTTTGCAAGCCATTTCAGCAGCACCCAGGTGTCTTGTTCTCGGTTTGACCATCACATCACAGATATTTTCAAACCTTCCACTGCCTGAGCCTTGCTCAGTCTATGGGACTGGGCTCATCTAAAAAACACTTAGCAGGAATTTCTGCATTTTGCTGCCCTGAAACGAGCACATGAGACACAGACACAATTATGGGAGGTTTTGCTGGCAGTGCCAGGGGCTGAAACTTGCTGGGTAAGCAGCTGATTTTCCACCTTTTTACCACTTTTCTAAGCTTTCAGTTAAAATACAGCGTGTGGTCTTTTGAAAAGCAGCTCAAGTGCCACATACAAACGATTTGTTTGCGTTTTCCTGCACATCAATCCCCAGAGGGGATATTTTTGCATCCCAGGTTGGAAGCAAAAAGCATCAGGGATAAAAGGAGTGAAGAGAGGCTGAGGTTCCTGGGGACAACGTTGGATCTCAGCCACAAACTGGAAAATTATAAAGAGACACTGAAAAATGATAAAGGGAATTGAGGGATGGTTTGGGTGGGAAGGGATCCAGGATAACTCATGGCAGGGACACTTTCCACTGTCCCAGGCTGCTCCAAACCCGATCCAACCTGGCCCTGGACACCTCCAGGAATGGGGCAGCCATGGAATAACCTGTGCCAGGTCCTCCCAAACCCCACAGCGAGGAATTTCTTCCCAAAAAAATCCTACCCAAACCTCCCGTCCCGCAGTTTAAACCCGCCCCCCTTTGTCCCACGCTCCGCGCCTTTTTCCAAACTCCCTCTCCGGCGCTCTTAGAACCTCTTTAAACGCTGAAAAAAAAAAGAAAAAAAGAAAAAAAAAATCCCTTCCAACCCCTGCCACCTTCTAACCTCGGTATTTCAGCTTTCGTCCGTTTTCTTAAAAAAAATCCCCTCACTCGGGGCGATTTTCGGTGCCCCGCACGCCTCGTCCCGCGCAGGCCGCGCCTCACCCCGAGCCTTTCGGGGCCTCCCCTCGCTGCTCCTCGGGGCCGTTCCCGCTGCTTTCCCCGCTGTTTTTCCCGGTGTTTTCCGCGCTGTTTTCCCCGCAGCTGTTGCCGGAGCAGGACACGGGGCCGTGCCCCCGCCCCGCCGCTCTGTGAGGCCCGGCCTGCCCTTTCCGCCCGGCCCGGCCGGGTTTCCGCGGGGACGGGGCCGGGGCCGGGCCCGCACAAAGGGGAGGCAGGAACGGCAACGGAACGGGAACGGGAACGGCAACGGGGACGGGAACGGAACGGGACGGGAACGGGAACGGAACGGGAACGGGAACGGGAACGGGACGGGAACGGGAACGGGACGGGAACGGAACGGGAACGGGACGGGCTGGGGAGGGCCCGGAGCCGCCGGGGGATACTGGGAGGTACTGGGATCCCCTGGGTGGTACTGGGATCCCCTGGGTGGTGCTGGGATCCTTTGGGTGGTACTGGGATCTTCTGGGTGATACTGGGATCCCCTGAGTGATACTGGGATCTTCTGGGTGATTCTGGGACCCACTGGGTGATACTGGGATCCTCTGGGACATACTGGGATCCGCTGAGTGGTACTGGGATCCTTTCGGAGATACTGGGATCCACTGGGTGATACTGGGATCTGCTGGGTGACACTGGGATCCCCTGAGTGATACTGGGATCCTTTCGGAGGTACTGGGATCCACTGGGAGGTGCTGGGATCCATTCGGAGGTACTGGGATCTCCTGAGTGGTACTGGGATCCTCTGGGTTATACTGGGATCTGCTGGGTGATACTGGGATCCCCTTAGTGTTACTGGGATCCATTCGGAGGTACTGGGATCCTCTGGGTGATTCTGGGACCCACTGGGTGATACTGGGATCCTCTGGGACGTACTGGGATCCGCTGAGTGGTACTGGGATCCTTTCGGAGATACTGGGATCCACTGGGTGATGCTGGGATCCATTCGGAGGTATTGGGAATGATCGGGGGATACTGGGATCCTCTGGGACACGCTGGGATCCTCTGGGATGTACTGGGATCCTCTGGGAGATACTGGGATCTGCTGGGATCCTCTGGGAGGTATTGGGATCCACTGGGATCTGATAGGAGCTGCTGGGATCTGCTGGGACATGATGAGATCCTCTGGGGCAGACTGGGACATGCTGGAACCCACTAGGATCTGATGGGACCTGCTGGGATCCACTAGGACCCACTGGGATCTGCTGGAACTCAGTGGGACCCTCTGGGATTCTCTAGGACTCACTGGGATCTGCCAGGATCCTCTGGAGCACACTGGAATCAACTGGAATCAACTGGGACCTTCTGGGACTCACTGGGACCCATTTGGGATGGTCTGAGATTGGCCGTGATCCACTGGGACTCTCTGGCATCCATTTGGATCTCCTGGGACCTTTGGGGACCACGCTGGGCCCCTGTGGGATCTGCTGGGAGTCCCTGGGATCCAGCAGGATCCCCGGAGCTCCCCCATTCCATGGAACAAAAGCTGGGGATGAGCAGGAAGCAAAACGCCCAAAGAACCCTCGGTTACAGACCCAGGCTGGGCTTGGGCTGTAATTGATGGTTCTTGCATCATTTCACCCAAAATTTGGGGTGGTTTGGGCACCCAGTGCCACCCCTGCCATGGCAGGGACACCTCCCACTGTCCCAGGCTGCTCCAGCTTCTCTGGGAATTCCATCCCAGCCCCTCCCCACCCTCACAGGGAGCGATTCCTTCCCAAACATCCAAGAAATTCCTGAGGAAGGTGCAGCAGTTTCTGCTCCAGATGATGGTGAAGATNGGCCCGGCCTGCCCTTTCCGCCCGGCCCGGCCGGGTTTCCGCGGGGACGGGGCCGGGGCCGGGCCCGCACAAAGGGGAGGCAGGAACGGCAACGGGACGGGAACGGAACGGGAACGGGAACGGGAACGGGACGGGAACGGGACGGGAACGGGAACGGGACGGGAACGGGAACGGAACGGGAACGGGAACGGGACGGGAACGGCAACGGGAACGGGACGGGAACGGGAACGGCAACGGCAACGGCAACGGAACGGGCTGGGGAGGGCCCGGAGCCGCCGGGGGATACTGGGAGGTACTGGGATCCCCTGAGTGATACTGGGATCCACTGGGAGGTACTGGGATCCCCTGAGTGATACTGGAATCCTCTGGGTGATACTGGGATCCACTGGGACATACTGGGATCCGCTGAGTGGTACTGGGATCCTTTCGGAGATACTGGGATCCACTGGGTGATACTGGGATCTGCTGGGTGACACTGGGATCCCCTGAGTGATACTGGGATCCTTTCGGAGGTACTGGGATCCACTGGGAGGTGCTGGGATCCATTCGGAGGTACTGGGATCTCCTGAGTGGTACTGGGATCCTCTGGGTTATACTGGGATCTGCTGGGTGATACTGGGATCCCCTTAGTGTTACTGGGATCCATTCGGAGGTACTGGGATCCTCTGGGTGATTCTGGGACCCACTGGGTGATACTGGGATCCTCTGGGACGTACTGGGATCCGCTGAGTGGTACTGGGATCCTTTCGGAGATACTGGGATCCACTGGGTGATGCTGGGATCCATTCGGAGGTATTGGGAATGATCGGGGGATACTGGGATCCTCTGGGACACGCTGGGATCCTCTGGGATGTACTGGGATCCTCTGGGAGATACTGGGATCTGCTGGGATCCTCTGGGAGGTATTGGGATCCACTGGGATCTGATAGGAGCTGCTGGGATCTGCTGGGACATGATGAGATCCTCTGGGGCAGACTGGGACATGCTGGAACCCACTAGGATCTGATGGGACCTGCTGGGATCCACTAGGACCCACTGGGATCTGCTGGAACTCAGTGGGACCCTCTGGGATTCTCTAGGACTCACTGGGATCTGCCAGGATCCTCTGGAGCACACTGGAATCAACTGGAATCAACTGGGACCTTCTGGGACTCACTGGGACCCATTTGGGATGGTCTGAGATTGGCCGTGATCCACTGGGACTCTCTGGCATCCATTTGGATCTCCTGGGACCTTTGGGGACCACGCTGGGCCCCTGTGGGATCTGCTGGGAGTCCCTGGGATCCAGCAGGATCCCCGGAGCTCCCCCATTCCATGGAACAAAAGCTGGGGATGAGCAGGAAGCAAAACGCCCAAAGAACCCTCGGTTACAGACCCAGGCTGGGCTTGGGCTGTAATTGATGGTTCTTGCATCATTTCACCCAAAATTTGGGGTGGTTTGGGCACCCAGTGCCACCCCTGCCATGGCAGGGACACCTCCCACTGTCCCAGGCTGCTCCAGCTTCTCTGGGAATTCCATCCCAGCCCCTCCCCACCCTCACAGGGAGCGATTCCTTCCCAAACATCCAAGAAATTCCTGAGGAAGGTGCAGCAGTTTCTGCTCCAGATGATGGTGAAGATTAAGAATTGTGGTTTTTTTTTTTTTTTTTTTTATTTTACCGAAAAGAAATTGTCAAACATTCTCCTAAGGCCAAACTGCTTTTTGTTAGCACTCCCAAATCAGTCACATCCAGTTCAAAGAATGTCAAAAGCACAGAAGTTTCACAAATTCCTGGGACTTTGGAAAGCAAAGCTCACCCAAAGCCAATATTCCAATATTTCAGTCACAGCCCTGCCCATACTACACCTCCCCCGTGCAAATCGACTTTATAATTTCTAACTAAGTGGCAATAATTTGCATCCAGGTGTGGGTTTGTTAATGAAGGTGATTAACTCCAGGTTTTCCTCTCTCAGCACACACAGCCCTGCTGGTGCTGAGCAGGAGCAGCAGAATCATTTCCAGGGGAGGTGGGGATGGAATGACTTTGAGGAATGACTTTGAATGGAATGATTTTGAATGGAATGACTTTGAGGAATGACTTTGAATGGAATGACTTTGAATGGAACGACTTTGATTGGAATGACTTTGAGGAATGATTTTGAGGAAGGATTTTGAATGGAATGACTTTGGAGGGCACCAACTGCAGGAGAAAGAAGAGGCTGCTCACAGGTCACAAAAATCTCCTGTGGATGGTTTGTAGGACCAGAGCCTGACAGGACTCGTGGGTGTGATGCCTTGAGAGCCTTCCTAAAACAGAGCTAGACAGAGTTAAAGAATAAAGTAGGAATTTATTAAAAGGATCCCAAGGATACACCCAAGGTGGACTCAGAGTCACGAGTTCTCACACTTTTATAAGTTTTGGTCCATTTCCATAATTGTTATTAGCCCAATTCGAGCTCCAGGTTATTCCAGAAGTCCCACCCTCCCAGATTCTCTCCTCAGTTCTCTGTTGTTTGCACTTTTTGGGCCTGAGGTTGCAGTGGTGTCCTTGGTTCTGGGGCTGGAAAAGGATTTTTTTGTGTGCCTGAGCTGCGAGGAGAACTTGCTAATAACATTTTATATGAAATTCAGAGTCACACGCTAAGGGAGTACAGAGTCTGGAAAATATGAAAGCTCAAACTTAAGGAATGAGGTGGACAGCAAGAGCCTGGGTGGGTGCTGGGTGTCCCCTGTGCCAGGTCCCCACTCCCTGGGGCTCTGCAGGTGACACTGTGCCACAAGAGCCTGAACTGCTCTTTGACCTCCCCTCTCCCTTTCCAGCTTCACCTGAGCTGTGTTGGAAGAGTCTTTGCAGATCCACAACCCAAAATCCTGTTCAGGGCTGGATTTCCACCAGTGCCAGGGATGCCCTGGCCATCAAGAGCTTTCTGGTGAGCCTTGAATGAATTTCCACATGAATTTGCTGTCCTGGCTCCCCTCGTGCTGTGCTCTGGCTGTTGTGTCCCACTCTCCCACTCGGTGCCACTGTTGCTCTGTGGTTTTCATCCCAACCAGGCAGGGCAGGAAATGAAAGATTCAGGGTAAGCCAAACAGAGGGGAGTTCAGGAAAATAAAATCAGATTATCACAAGGCCCATGGGGTCAGTTTATCAAAGGCCTCACTGGGCTGTTCCTTTAGCCAAAATAAAAAGATTGGTCCAAAATGTTGTTGGAGAGTTCCCCTCTGACCTGCTCAAAGTGGGGCATGTTAAACACAGGGGACTGAGCAGGCTTTGGGCTCTGGGGCTGCAACTTGGAAGGGAACATCCTGGGACATTCAGGACATTCAGGACATTGAGGAGAAGGCTCTGCTGCTCAGCCAGGGACCAGGACCAGGCAGCTGGAGGAGCCCAGGAATGGCTCAGCACAGGGAAGGATGAATCCTGCAGTGAGGGGGGTCACAGAGAGCATCTCTGAACCCCTTTTTTGGGGCAGTTTATGGGAGATTTCCAAGTGCAGACTGGCCCAGGGAATAAGCAAAGCTCATCCACAAGAAGCATGAATTTCCTTGGAGGACATGGAGCCACCTGATCCTTTGGAATCCCTTGGATTCCCCAAATCCAACACGAGCATCTGGGGGAATTGGGAGTGTTGATTTGGGTTTACAGCATCCTGCAGGGGCTGGGGACACATCCCCGTGCTGGGGACAGGCTGAGCAGTGCTGCCAGCACACACAAACTCACACAGAGCCACAATAACCCACACAGGCAGAAAAGCCACCAGCACAGCCAGCCCTGCCAGGCTCCTGCTGCTCCTCCCTCCAGCTGAGCAGGATAAAAACCCCCATTAGTGGAAAATACAAATAAACACACAGATCCCTCCAGCAACTTCAGATAAGGCCTAAAAGAAGCTTAAGGTCCAACACTGTTCCCTTTCCCAGACTCACCAGCACTTCACAGCAGCAAGGGAAGCTGAGCTCCAATCATACCCTTATCATAGTGGTTTAGATTTGCCCATTTTAATGTCCTTTTTTTTTTTTTTTTGTGAGATAGGATTAAGAGCAAAAGCAAGGCAGGCTTAAAACTTAAAGGGTTTAAAGGAAACTTTATTAACAACACAAATAAATTCAGAATAAAACTTTCAGACCGCCCTTCCTCTTTTTTCCTACATCCTCTTCTTCTTCTTAGCAACAATATACAGAAACACTTTCATCAGTTACTAACTTAAGAAGAATTTTTTTCATTTTGCTCTAGGGAGAGTTTTTCTTTGTCAGGCTATAGGGACTTTTTCACAAGAGGAGAGGAAAAAAAAACCCATCCAGACACCACCAAGGAGCCCAAATCCTCAGGGAGATTGTCCTGAGCTCTGGACAGGCTTTGCCAGCCCCAGTTCTGTGGGAAGGGGAAGGATCTCCCCACAGCCCCCCAGCTTAGGGCTGTGAAATTCTTCACTCACAGGGTGGGCAGGGCTGGCACAGGGTGCCCAGAGCAGCTGTGGCTGCCCCTGGATCCCTGGAGGTGCCCAAGGCCAGGCTGGACAGGGCTGGGAGCAGCCTGGGATGGTGGAAGGTGTCCCTTCCCATGGCTTTAAATCCCACCCAAACCAGTCTGGGATTCTTTGATTTTATGACTTCAACCTGCCTAAGCTTTACCAGATCTTTAATGACAATTTCAGCATCTGCAGCCAGTGAGATTTGCAATGCCACTGCAAGGATTCCTTGCCTTTTCCAATAAATACATGTGTGTATGTGTATATAAATGTTTGTGTGTTTAGAACTCTTGGTACTGCCAGTTCTCCCTGACTGCACAGTTTTTCACTGGTATTTGAGCTTCCTAAACAGCAACCCATATTTCAGATCCTATTAATAGCCACTGCTGCCAAATTCCCCTTCTCCTGTTTTGAAGAATCCACGAATTTTGCTTCCCTTGCAAACCTGTTGTTTCCCCTGGACGTGTTTCCCCCGAGGTGTGGTGACGATTTGCACGGCTGATAAATGTGATTTTAACGGTCCTGAAGGTGGCTCTGAGTTCTGGAGATGTGTGGAGGATCAGGACAGGGTGTGACAGCTCCCACCTGCCGAGTGTGGGGAGCATCCAAACCCACACAGGGATGAAACCCAGGCAGGGAATTCAATGCAGGCTGCATTCAATAATCAGATTTCTAGAGGCACTCTCACCTAGTGACCCCAGAGCTCTGTGCCAAGCCAATATTTGCTCGTGCTCTGCAAACTCAGGGAGTTTGGGGTGCTCTGGATGTGATCATCAAGCCTTGCTGACAGCTCCATTTATCACTGGGCAGGTTGCAGTGTTTGGACTCTGCTGAACGTTCCCCCTCGTCTTTGCCCGTGTTTTACTCCTGGTGAAAAATCTCCGTGGAGATTCCCGGCGACAGCTCCCTTTGCATTCCTGCTGCACACTCAGCCAGCCAAGCAAGGCTGTAAATAATTGAGCACCCATCATTCCCCACCAGAAGCAGCCTGCTTTGCTCTCAACAGCAAATATTTAGTGAGGTAATCAATCCAAGAAAAAAAAAAAATTAAAAAAAAAAATCTTAATTTGGATAAGAAAATTAAATGTTTTTCCCAGATCTTCTATCTGATTATCTCTGGCATCCATCCTGCTGTTCTCAGGGTAGGTGCTGTACCAGGAGATAATTATGAGGATCACAGAAGCAGTTCAATTAACTGCAGCTAATGCTCCTTATTAGCATTTTGCTGGGGCTTGTGGAGTTTTTCAGCTGAAACAGATAAACAAGCTCAAACATTCGCATAGGAAAGCTCAGACAAAAACAGAAACAAAGGGCCACGGAGGCTGTCAGGGAAAGCCCAGAGCAAACACTGGGATGTCTCAGCTCTGGGGGCGTGGATGCAGTGCCTGGGGTTTGGAGATGGCCACGAGCACACGGGGGGCACAGCTGGGAGCTCAGAGATGGGACAGGATGGGACATCCTCGGGGACAGCCCTCAGCCCGCTCAGAAACTCCTGTCCCTGGGCTCACCTGCCTCAGGTGTGGGCACTGCAGCTCCTGTGCTGCCACAGGAACCAGCAGCACATTCCCTGTGGAGCTTTGTCTCCAAAATGTCCTGGCTGGGGCAGAGGAACCACCCTGGAAAGGCTGAGCTGGAGCAGAGACAGAGCAAAAGGAATAAAATCGGGATTTATTGAAAGGATTCACTTCGGGCAGTGCTGGGGCTACACCCAAATCAAATCCCAGATGGATCCTGGTCACGAGTTTGACACTTTTATAAGTTTTGGTTCATCTTGGGGTCAATTGTCCAAGCACAGCCCCAGGCTATGAAGTCTCAGCCCCCTGGCTCGCCCCCTTTCCCTCTCCTTTGTTTCTGATTTTTGGGTACTGGGTGTCCTTGATTCTCCAGCTGGGAAGGAATTGTTTTGTCACTCCCCTGTGAGGAGAACTCACCAACACCTAATATGAAGTTCCAGAGTTCCACACTGAGCAGCAGAGATTCTGAAAAATGTAAAAGCTAAAACCCAGGGCATCACCAGGGCAGTGCCAGCTGGCTCCTGGCAGTGCTGTCACCCCCCAGGGGAGGTGCTGGCTGTCCTGGCACGTCCCTCAGAGCAGGATTTCACATCTCCCGTGCCTGGGGACACCTGGGCTCAGACATCTCCATCTGCAGGGGGACTTGGAGCCCACAGGACACCCCAGGAGTGTCCCCAGGTGCCTCGGTGACACAGGTGAGCCCAAGCCCTGCTCCCAGCGGGGCTGTTCATGCTCTGACTGCAGCATCAGCCCAGCATCCAAATCCATGTCCTCAGCTTCCACACCTGCTCTCCAGGCTGCCTTCCCTTCCCTGTCACCTCCTGCCAGGCTGCTCTCTATACCTCCAGCCCCCTGGGGCCAGCAGCCAGCGAGCTTTCTCCAAGTTCAGGGCTTTATTTTATTTTATTTTATTCTGGTGTAGTTTTGCCCTGGCAGCCCGTGTGGGCCCCGATGAGGACAGGTGGGATTGCAGGTGAAGTATTTGGTGTTGAGCCCACTCCTGAGGATGGGCTGCTCCTGCAAACCAAAACTCTCCAGCCCTACCTGTCCCTGAGACTCCAGGAATTATCCAGTCTTTGGATAGGCAACTTCATGGCTTTGTACTTCCAGTTCCCTTCCAAGTCCTCTCTAATTATTTTTTTTTTCCTGTTTTCCTTGGCCTGGTTCTCTCTGTGCCTCATTTCTCACCCTCCCTGGTGCCTGCAGAGCTGGGGTTTGTTGTCCTGGAGCTCCAGGGCTCTGCCCCACCTCGGTGGTGTGGGAAACACTCGCAGTCCTGTCAGTACAAACACCCGGGAATGTTCCTGGCTGCAATTCCCAGGCTGCTGCATCCTCAGGGACAGCCCAGCCTCACACCTGGCCCTGGCTGAGCACCTTTGCCAAGCCCTTGGTGACAGCACCGAGGCAGAGCCGTGCCCTTCTGCACTTCCAAAGGCTCAGGAATTTTGGGAGCAGCTGCAAGGAAGGGCAGAGAGGCACCGAGTCCCATCTGTGCCCTGCCTGTGACACCCTGAGCTGTCCTGGCAGGGGCACCGAGGCATCCAGGGCACAGGGGACACCCCAGCCCCTCCCAGGCTGCCACTGGTGCCAGGACAGGAACCTCCCCAAGCTCAGCCCACCGAGAATTTCCAATTTTTCTCACTGTGGCAAAGGCTGGAAAAGCATTTTTATTTTTTTTTTTTTGGCCTCCTGGCAGCTTGGCTGTGCCCAGGATTTGGTGGGAGGATGTCACAGGGGTTGGATGAGCTGTGAATTCAGGATTCCATGTGTTCAGGGGCACATGAGGAAGGAAAGATCTCCATGAGTGCATCCCCAGCTCTGGAATGAGGCACAGTCCCTGCCTGGAGCACACAGCAGCCTCTGCTCTTATTAAAGATAATAACCCAGCTCAATTAACACTTGTGGGGCCTGTTCCCTGCACACCCACGAGCAGAACCCAGCACAGCTGATACCAGGCACTCAGCAGAGCACAGAGCTGAGCCAAGACAGAAATAGCCTTTGCTGCCACATCCCCTCCCTCTAATCCCCCTGTGCTCCATCCACACTTGTTGGATCCCACAAACCTGGGATTTTGGAGCTTTCTGTGCTTTTTGAACCCCCCTGGAGAACACTGCTTTTGACCCAAGGCCTTGAAAAAGGCTTCTAAATTTGAGTGATGGAGTTAAAATCACGGGTGTGTAGTTAAATGGAAGTGTGTGATTTCACATGGTGAAGGGTTTGAAATTGAGGTTTTTATAATTTTTATAATATAGTAATAGGTATGGGATAAGATGGAGGATTTGGGGTGTTTTCTCCTTTCTGTCTTCTTCTTCCAGGGTTTCAGGCAGTAGTTTCTGGTTGGTCAGTCAGTGCCACACTGAGGGTCATGGAAATTTAATTATTGGGTTAAAAGTATCAATAATATAGGTGTTAATTCTCTATTGGACTGTTCAGCTTGTAGCAGCTGGATTCATCTCCATTTTGCTCACTTTTAGCAGGTAGCTACAAGTGCTGCTGAAGTTCCTGTACTTTAGATAAGATTTAATAAACAACCAAGCCTGAGCAGGAGAAATTCCATTTCTTTTGTGTGTTTTTTAAATCCTGACTGAGTAAAGACAGAAGAGACTCCACACAAACCATTAATGAAGTGGTGCAAACACACTGGAGCCATGGAAGGTCTGAGGGAGCTGGGAGCTTGTGAGAAATCCCAAATCAGGGTGAAATCCTGGGGAGTCCCCAGAGGTGTCAGGCAGTTCAAGCTGCCCCAGAGGCTCCAGGCTTGAGGGGTTGATTGCAGCTCCATCTCTGGGAGAATGAATTAAATGAAATTCCTTCCCAGGTGAAGAGCTGTCAGTGGATGATGCAGAACCAGGCTGCCAGGCAGGGACTGCAGAGCTTTATCATAAATGATGGGCATGGCTTTTCCTGATGGGAATTCTCTCTCACAAACACGAATTAAAAAAAAAAAAAAAAAATTCCAAACAAAACTGCTCCAGAGAGGAGCAGGAACCTTTTAAAGGAGGAATTCTGGCGTGGAGATCCACGGATGGCATCAGCCAGGTGGGGAGCAGAGCACAGGAGATCCCAGGGAGAGGAAAAATCCTCCCAAATTCCATCAGCTCTGGCCGAGTGCCAGGGAGCTGGCAGTGGGAACAGCCATAAACCCCGGGATAATGGACAAATTAGCAATTGTTTGGAGCAATTAGGGCACAAGTGGCTTCAGAGGACATTGAGACAGCCCATGGCAGTGCAGGGATTGCTTTGGAGGCTGGGAAGGTGCCAGACCCTCCCTGGGTCTGGAGGGATCTTGCACCGAGCAAGGATCATTTCCCCAGACTCCAGGGATGCCAAAGGCACAGTGACAACACCCAGCGACTCCTTTCAGCCCTGGGCTGCTGTCACCTCGGTGGGTGACAAACCCAAAGCCCAGAGGGGCTGGCAGCACCAGCAGCTCTGGGGCTGCCACCTGCAGATTTGTCCCTGTCACTTATTGCCACCTTTCTCTTCCAGAGCAGCTTTTTCCCCCTTTCTTAAAGGTCACAGAGGTGCTGCCACCATGGGCTGTGCTCTGGCACTGATGCCTTGAGGAGCTGGAGCTGCACACAGAGTTCAGGGGAATAAAATGGGTATTTATTGTGAGACACACAAAAACCACAGCCCAGCAATATCAGTGCCACCGTGGTGGCCCCTGCCTGGATGGCTCCAAGATGGAAGGAAAGGAGGGGGTTGGTCACAAAATCTCACATTTTTATAAATTCTGGTTAATTTGCATGAACCCACCTTCCACTTTTCCACGGAGTTTGTGCTCAGGGCCTGAAGTTTGGAGAAACTGTCCTTGAGTTCTTCACTGGAACAGGACTGGTTTGTCTTCATCACCCCAGCACATCAGAAAAGCACACCCAAGGAGAACAGGAAAACTTAAATAAATCAGCACCAGCTGCACTTTGTCCACCGTGGGAGTGAATTCCCACCCTGCAGCTCCCCCAGTACCCACAGAAAACCCAACGTGGGTTTGTCAATCACTCTGCAAATCCCTCCAGCTCGTTTTGGACCTGTGAGCAAAGCACAGCGTCCTGTGTTCAACACCTGCTGGCAATGCAGCCCCCCCACAGCGCCCGAGGGCACTGATTTGGGTCATTTTCCTGCATTTCCCCATCTTTCCCAGGAGTTTCTCAGAGTCCAGACGTCCCAGATGCTGCAGCATCTGTAAAAACCTAAAAAAAAAAACCCGCAGCTGTTTTTTCCTAAAGGCATTTTTGGAGAACATCCCAACTCCACAGTCAAATATCCTCGGGATGCAGCAGAGCAGTGCCCCTTACCCCTGGAGCTGCCAAAGCAATGGGAAGTCCCTTGAAGAGAGGTTTGATGTGACAGCTTGGAGCTGATAAGCCATTGATTTCTTCTCCTTTTTTTTTGGGCTGGAGGAGATTGTCAGCCCAGGGACACAATAGCAAGGCAGGGATGATAACAGCACAGGCTGCTGGAGGATCCTGGCAGG